GGAATTAATGGTTTATAAAAAAATTGATCGGATTAGTCTAAACGTGAATACATTGATCAAATAAATTGGATGGAATTGATGATTTATTCAGAAATTGACTAGGTTGTCCTAAAAATGAATAAATTGGTCAAATGAATTGAATGGAATTGGTGGTTTATTTTAATATTGACTAGATTATCGTAAAAGTGAATAAACTAGTAAAATGGATTGAATGGACTTGACGATTTATTCAAAAATTGACTGGATTGTTCTAAAAGTGAATAACTTAGTAAAATGGATTGGATGGGATTGACGGTTTGTTCAAAAATCGACTGGATTGTCTATCCATTTGTAGTTTCAAATTTCACAAATTTCGTTGCAATGCATTAGTATATGAGCCTTCTAAAATCAAAATTCGGCCACAATATATTTATTTTTCCAACAACAAGGAAATCGTTTGTGAATTTCTTAAACTTAGTGTCCTTACGCATGGGATTTTACCAATTTTGACAAAATGGCCAAATAGTGAGTATTAGAAACTCATATTCTAATGTGCAAAAATTGCTCCATCATCTTTAATGCCATCGTCATGATAAGAATCGGATTTTACCTTACCTTGTGCACTACCTCTTTGGATGATACAAAAATATAAATGTGCAAGTCTCATTGGATTATATATCCAAAACAAAATGATAGTTTATTCCTAATACGGGATTCCCTATGTGGCATTCCCTTTATGGTTGATGCATGATACGAGTTTATTAAAGTGAATAAATATACAATATACAATATGATGATTGGAATATGACCTAAGGGTTCTCCATTTAGATGTTGTGGTAAGTCTAAAAAATGACATGCATACATATACATAGTATTGATGCGTTAGATTGAAATTTAAACATGTTATTTACAAAAGGTGGTCTATCCTAAATGAGTACCATGTCAGGACTCTTATTTCTAGGGTTTATAAATGCAATATAACAAAATAAAATGATGGTTAGTTTATTTGATAAACAACACATAACAGATTGGAGCAACAAAATGGTACAGAAATATAAAATAAAGGAAAAGAAAGAGGGATAAAATCCCTCCCCTTGTATCTAGTGTTTTTGATAAGATAGATGAAGACTCTATCTTAGGTGATTGTTAAATGGATGCATAAGGTTGGATTCACTAATGCATCTAAACTCGATAAGGTTTCAGGTCCCCAAACCTTTAGACAAAAAGGCGAAGGGTCATCAATCTCAAAACCCTTAGTCGGTGGCTCGAGTGATCTCTCAAACATTGCTACGTGTACATCGTGCTATGGCCATATGTCCAAGTAGATTGATCCCAATCCTAATAGGGAGGAGTGATGTGACAACCACTAAAAAAAATAAAGATAGAGGGTTAAAAAGAAACAACGTATGCATGTATGAAGTGTTCCTTTGAAGAGAGGGAGTAATACTATTAAATATGCATGAAAGCTCTAAGGCAATAACGCTCCCCATCCCCAAATACAAAGCGCGATATGAAAAAATAAATATAAGTAAATAGACAAACCATTCATCACATACACGAAAACAAGGAACGAATACGAGTGTGGAATACAAAATATCCTAAAAAGAGAAAAATGCAACCTAAGACATCCAAATATGATAAGCGAAAGGGATAGAAAGAGAAAAGATAACTAAATCAAGTGTTCGGACTCACTAGGGTCCCTAATGGAGTCACCAAGTTGTCGCGCCCCATTTTTTGAAAATAAAATTTAAGTGTTAAAAAATGAATTTTAGGAAAAATGTATTTTTTGATTAATTTTTATACAAAAATTGGTTTGTAATTTTAGAGAATAAATAAAGAAAAAGGGCCTATAATAGGGTTTAAAATATGTGACGATTTTGACCCAAAATAATAGTCTAAAAAGGGTTATTAGAAGAAATAGGAGTCGCCACTTAGTATTGAGTTTACGTGTACCAAGTCATTCAAAATATATTTTTTAAACGAAATAATACAACCCGTTTTAGATGACTCTAGATCCTTGAAAACAAAAGAAAAGGTTCAGGAGTCGCGGTTGAAAAAAAGGAAGACAAAGGTTCAATTGATTCGAACTTAAGGCACCCTTTCAACCTAGTCTAAGCAAGTTGCAATATTTAGTCAAAAATTTTTCTAATCTAACCCTTATCTTTGAAAACAAAAGAAAAGGTTCAGGAGTCACGGTTGAAGAAAGAGAAGACAAATGTTCAATTGATTCGAACTTAATTCACCCTTTCAACCTAGTCTAAGCAAGTTGCGATATTTAGTCAAAAATTTTTCTAATCTAACCCTTAAATTTATCATGTTTGGACGTTTCTTACATGGATGCAAATCTAAATTTATAGACAATATCGAAAGGGACAAAATGTCCATTCAAGGTTTTAATTGATATCAATCGCATTAATTACGAATGTCAAAATAATCTCTTGAAAGGGTCACGAGTATGCAATAATGAAATTTGAAGAAAAGAGAATTATATATAGATATAAGTGATTAAGGAAAAAAGGATGCAACATAATAGGTATGGGAGGCAAAAATTCAGGACATAATTTTTCTTATACAGGGATTAATGGGATATTTAAACTAAAAAATCATAATCGTCCATTTCCCATGTTCAAAGAGCAATGCTCCTAATCTAGCTGGAGAAAAAGAAAAAAAAATACCTCAATAAAGGTTGTAGTCCCTTGGCTAAAGTTTTAATGAAATTCCGAACTTCAATCCAACCGGTTGCTACCCCCTTTTTTGTGTGTGAGTGTGTTGGGAGAAAAGAGAGAGAGCCGAGTGTGAGTTAGGGACTTTTTCTTCTTTTGCCTGTCTTTGTGTAGTGGAAGTGCTGTGGGTTAAGGGAATGTGTGAGAGTGGGTGTGTGTTGGGGTGGTTCTTGTGTGTAAAAGAAAAGAGAAAGCCGAGAGAGTCCCAAAAAAATGAGTGGAGTTTTTGTTAATCCAAATGACGATTTTTCTCACCAAATGAAAAGAAAGGTGCCTGGAACATTGAGTGCAAAAGTGGATCAATAGTGTATTTGGTGAAAGAGAAATAATTAGAGGAAGATTTTAGCTTCTCTTTTTCTTTCTTGTTTTTCTTCTTCTCTCTTTTTTTTTCATTTTTCTTTTCTTAAAATAAACCTACAAAATGAGAAAGATGCACATTAAGATGCAAGAAGATAAATAACTCATTAAATAGATAAAATTCAAGAAAATATTAAAAATTGACTTAATTTTGGTGGCTACAATTCTGGACCCTTCTTGATAATTGATTTGTCTTGTTGCTGTTCCCAAACACTTGCCTAATCTCTAATTGTTTTGATTGGTTATCCAATTCATCTCTTCTAATTGGCTTCCATCCTTCACTCCCCATACCTATCTGTAGGGAGTCCAAATCTTTTGGTTCTTTCTGTGGAGAGTCTTTACCATTCATAGCCCTCAGCCAAGGACCATATTGGTTCTGATTTTGACCTTTTTTCACAGCTATAGGATCATTAAAATTTCTCTCAATATGTATTGTTATTCCACAACTGTAGTAGAAGTCTAGACATTTTTCATATTTGAAAGATGCCCATTTGGTCATTCTATTAATTTGCACAGCTGTCCCTCTCAACAATGATTGGCTAATGTCTGCCAACACTAGAATCTTCATGTGCTTTCCTTCTTTTTCACCTGTTTGTAGTACTATTACCTCCCTCACCTTATTAAATATTGCTCTAATTGTCTTCCCTCTAGATTTTGAGATCCAATATATTGGGAGGTTCCAAATTTGCACACATAAGGGAGAGATGTTAAAAGCTTATTTTATTTTCTTCTCTATCTGCTTGCCACTTTTTTAGGACTAGGATTTGGTTGTCTATCACCCAAGAACCTTGTAGTAATATTCTCTCTTTTTCTTGTTCATTTGGTACAAAAAATTGAAATAAGTTTGATCCCAATTCTGTAACTTTCACTCCTTTTGGATAGCTCCAAACCACTGTAACAAAAGTTTTTGACCCCTGTGTGGTTGGCTACTTTCTCCCCTCTTATTTTTCCAATCAAACTTGCCTAATATTCCAGAATGCCATCATTCACAGCTCCCAGATCTAGTTGAGTACCACCTTTCTCTTTATTTCAAAGTGCAAATTTCTACATTATTTCTACAAGTTCTTTTGCCATGTTGTCTAGGAAGTGATATTAGTAGTTAACCTTACAATTACTGCTTAGATAACTGCTAATCTAGCTAGATCTAAGAAGAAAACTCAAAAGCAAATATTTCTCTAGGTAAAAGCTTACCCAAACAGACAAATAGTTAATGAAAGCAAGGTGACAATATGAAAGGAAAAAGGGGAGGTTGAAGACAAGGCATATAAACTTACCTCACCTCAACTCTTTTCACCATGTCCCGTCTATTTGTAGCTTCCAACCAAGATTTGAGTATATTTAATGCCTTCTCTATTGGTCCCTACATTCTATAAAATTGTCAAACTCCTTAACTCTCTACTTTAATTCTGCCTATCTTATCGAATACTGAAGATTTATGGAATTCAGATTCTCATATTTGTTAAATGAATCTGTCGGGTGCTTTAAATTTTGGAGATTTGTCCATTTTGCTAAACTTTTGAAAGCTTTCGACTGGTTTTGAATAAGTTTGAAACTCTCTCCAAGAAGGACAAACTGTCTTCCTAGGAGAGAGAGAAAAACCTCTACCATGTGAGAGGACAAGGTTTCGGCCTTTATAATAATCAAATCAATCAATTTTTACTAAAAAAATTAATCATTTTATATTCTTTTTTTAATAAAAATGTTTTATTTTATTGATTGTAAATAGAGGAGTACATGCTACGATGAAACGATAAAGTACATAATTTTAGTCAAATGCTAAGTCAAGACACCTATCCAAGTTGCCACCACAGGGAAGAGAGCTCGCGGCTATCTAAGTATACCATAGCCCGCACTAAATGCGGTAGCCGAGAGAGCACAGTGCAAAATAATTCTAACTGCAATCGCAACCCGGCGAGCGCATCCACCGAAGCGTTTGCCTCTCTAAAGACGTGGGATACCGTTGTTGAAAGTGAGGAAAGCAATGCCCGGATCCGACACAACGTATTGCACAGAGGCTATCGAGACGTCACTACCAACCAGGCTTTTAAAGTCTATCTCCACCAGCAGGGGCCCCCTGGCTAGGTCCCTACAGAGCTGAAGGCCATGCAGCAACGATGAACTTTCTGCCATTAAGACGTCCAACTCCCCAAATTCCTTGTAATAAGCAAAAATTAAGCGGCCGTCCGAGTCGCGAAGCAAACCACCCCTATAGGCGCGCTTGTGAGAGACACTAGCATCCATATTCAACTTGACATGGTGCATCGGAGGGCGTTTCCAAGACACCGCCTGTGCAGTTTTCCGTTTTACTGGCCGGGTGCTCAGTCCGACCCGTGGGTCTCTTATGTCTCCCCGAAAATAACATGCCAAAAGTTTTTTTGCCGCCCCCAGTTGCTTCACGAATCCATCGACCAAAGACACAACCCTATGAGCCTCAAAGATCTCACCCTCGAAGAGCGCCTTGTTCCTAGCCTTCCATAGGAACCATAGTATTACTAAAGGGACGACGGTCATGATATGATCACGAGATATCACCGAAGTCGAGCTAAGCCATGTCAAGACCATCGCAGATACCGACGTGGAGCGAGGATCAATAATTCCAAACCTCTGACAAAAGGAGCTCCAAACCTCCCTTGCTACAGGGCTTGTCACAAAGAGATGAACTACTAACTCTTCTTCCAACTGACAACACAGGCAACATGAAGCCAAGGGAACTCCACGTCGTTTCAGAACCGTCTCCAAGGGGACCAAGCTACGTAAAACCTTCCATGCGAAGAATGATAACTTCAGTGGCACGAGGCTGTTCCAAAGGAACTCGTCCAGCAGCGAGATGTTGCGTTTGTACCGAATACTCTCCCAAGTAGCCTTGGTTGAGAACTCTCCCGAGAGCGAGCCCACCCAAACCATTCGATCCTGCTGTTCGGGGAATAATTGAATACTCTAGATTTGATTAACCAGCTGAGCAGGCACCCATTGCTCTAGCTTCGCTACATTACAACCTTTGTCATCAAAGAACTCTGCGAGCAGCATGTGTGATGGGTCATTAATGGAGAGGAGGTCGACCAGAGGGACTTCAAAAAGCCAGCGATCATACCACAAATCTACAAACACCTAATGTGACTCTCTGCTACCCGTTTAATTCCCTCCAACCGCCTCTATGTGGGCGAAGGTCTGGCTACTTGCACTTGGAGCGGGTGCTCACCTCTAACATATTTGGCGTGCATAAAGTGCACCCATAACGATTCATTTTTCCTCAACCGCCACCATAGCTTATAGGCAAAGGCTGAGCTCATGTATTCAAAGGAGCGAAAACCCAATCCACCCTCAGACACCGGGTAGCAGATCTTTTCCCAAGATGTCCAGTGGATGCCCTTGAGTCGGCGGTCTTATCCCATAGAAAAGCATTACACAACTTCCCAGCTTGTGCAAAATTGCCCGGGAGGGATCCAACACTTGCAACAGGTAGACATCGAGGTAAGAACATGCCGTAGTAGCACCAATTTACCTCCTCACGGGAGTAACTGTGAGCTCCAATGGAATAGATAGCCCAGCAACTTTGCCACGAGGGAGTCAAACAAGACACATGTCGTTCTTCCCTTGAAGACTGAGCTCCCCCAGATACGTGAACGGAAGGTACTGTTGCTGGAAATGCAACGTTGAGGCCACCATTGTCCCATGTTCAGGGGACGCCCGGGCAGACAAAATGAAGCAACTCTTGTGAGCATTAATCTTTTGACCCGAAAAAGCCTGGTAAGAGTCAAAGAATGACTTGAGAGAAGCCAACCCCCCCTCAGAGCATCGAGTGAAGACCAAGGTATCATCCGCAAATGCCAAGTAAGGGACTCGCAGCCCAGGGGAGACGAAGAAACGACTCTCATCTTGACAGAACAAATGGTGTATTCCCCGACCCAAGAACTCGGCCACCAAAATAAACAAGGCTAGAGAGAGCGGGTCGCCTTGTCGAACCCCCTAGAAGATTTGAAGAATCCTGCCGAGGATCCATTGATTAGCATCGAGAACCAATTGTTTGACAGCGTCCGAAAGAGGAGATCCACCCCCCACTCCTGAAACCCAAATTGTCGGAGCATAAATATAAGAAAACTCCATTCTACCTTGTCGTACGCTTTCTCTATATCCAGCTTCAGCATCAAGTTTGGGCACCGCAACTTCCTATCGATATCCATTGCTAGTTCCTATGCCATGAGGATATTGTCAGCAACACTTCTGCCTGGGACAAAACCTGATTATCATGGTGAGATAAGTTTAGGGAGCAGATGGTTGAGGCGGTTCGTTAGCACTTTGGAGACAATCTTGGAGCTTTGGTTACACAAGCTGATCGGTCTGAACTCCTGCCATTTGGTCGCCCCCGACACCTTTGGGATTAACACAATCAGTGCACTAGAAAAGCCTTTGGGTTGAAGGGCCCCCTTGAAGAATTCCTGAACTACTTTGAGTAGCTCACGTTGGACTATTGGCCAACAATCTTGGTAGAAACCTGCCCCGAATCTGTCCGGTCCCGGCGCACTATCTTTTGACATCGAGAAAACCACCTCTTTTACTTCCTATAGGGACGGCAGTTGCTGGAATTTCATATTGTCCTCATGAAAAGGTACTCTTGATCTCATTTTATATTCTTTTAAATACTCTTGAAAAGGTAACTTTAAAATTGCAGATAATAGCAATTTCACAAAAACACCACATGACTTGACATGAGTGGATTGGTTTACCCTTTGCTCCTTCGATTCAAAATCAGGTTAGATCTGATAAACCCAACAAGAAAACTAGCCCAAAATAAGTCAATCATGGTTTGACCATTTAACATGTTTAGTTGTAGACACCAAAATTTCAATTTCATTTTAATTTTAATTTTATTTTTATTTTTAGTTAATTAAAATTCACAAAATGATAGTTAGCTATTTTTATTGAATTAGCGTTCATTTTCTTTTTAAATAATTTTCGAAAAAAGAAAAGTCTCACAAAAATTTGTTTTTAAGCTTGTTAAATTCAATTTCTTCCAAATAAAATGAATTTTTTGCAAGGCAATCTTAATTAGAAATTTAACATTTTGTTTACCCTAAAATTTGTTTTGAAAAACAAAAATATGTGGAATACATGCAAGATAGCTAGGTGGAATGCATGCAAATGATCCATGTGGTTTTGGCATTTTGCACACCACAATATGCAAAGGCTAGGTGGCTAGGACAGGTGGAGTTAGAGGAAAAATCTGGAAAACTTAAGAAGAAACAAGAAAAGGAGCTGGCGGGCAACAAAAGGAAAAGGAAGGAAAAATGAAAAAAGAAAAAACCAAGAGAAGGTTGTGGGGAGAACAAGGAAGGGAAAAACGGGGGAAAAAGGAAGAAAGGGTTCCAGGAAAGAGAGAAAGAAAGGGAGAAGAGAAAGGAAGACAGAGAGGGTTGCAGGAGAGCAAGCAAGGTGAAGGAAGACAGAGGAAAAACAAAAAAAGAAAGAAAAAAGAGGGTTTCCGGAGAGAGCTTGGGGGAAAGGAGAAAGAGGAAAGAAAGAGAGGAAGAAAGGATCTGGGAAGAATCTGGGGGGAGAGGAGAAAAGGAAAAACAAGAAAAAACAGAAGGGAAAAGGGAGATTGGGGAGAGGAAGCAAAAAACGGGAGAAGCTTCGGCGAAAGAGAAAGAAAGGAAAGAAAAAAGAAAGAGAAAGGGAAGAAAAAAGAAAGGAGAGAATCTGGGGAGAATCTGGGGAGGATCAGAGAGGAAAAACAGCCAAAAGGGAGAGAAAAATCGAGAGAGAAAGAAAAGGAAAAAGTGCAGAAATTTTTCTGCAAAAAGTTGAGCCAGGGTTGACGAACCTACCCTGTTCATCACCCCATTTCGACAAATCCCGACCTCCTTTTGAGGATATTTTTCTTGATACATTATCTAGGATACTTAGGGAAGAATATATGTGTTGAAACGTTTTGGAGAAAGTTGCTGTAACATCTTCAAATCGAGGCCTGAATTGGACACCTTCACGTTCCTTGAAAGCTGCAATCTGGGTTTTGAGGAGCTTGCCTATGTTCCTACAGAATTCCATTGCGATTTCAACTCTATAAGGTGCTGAGGTAACTCTTAGTCCTCTCTTTGCTCGTTCCAGTTTATGTATAAGATTGCATCTAAACGAAACTAAAACTTGTTGGATGGCCTGCTTCATTCTCTCCCTGTTCATCTTTTTTTTTGGGTTTTCTCGATTGATTTCCTCTTGCTTTTCTGGTGTTGTTTGTTTTCCTTCTTTTCCTATGTTGTCCGTTTCTTTAGATTTTTGGTTATAAAAAACAAAATCCACGGGTCATCGTGTTTTACAGACTTAGAAAATAGCATTGGAATGATTTTGAGTAATAAGCTTCTGGTGTTGCAGAAGCTACGAAAAAGATGCATGGGTAGTTCTGAAAATTTCACTTTAACCCCTTAATTCTTATCTAATGCTACTATGACCCAGAAAATTGAAAAAAATGAATCAATCTTGTCCCTTTAAATTTTAATTTTCTTTGGCATACTTTAATATGATTTTTGGACAGATTATTTATGAGTTTTAGGATGAAATTTGAGGTTTAATAATTTTGATAGATTTATGATTTATAGTTTTGATTTGGGTTTTAGCAAAAGAATTAAAGATTTAGGTGATTCTTTTTGTTGTTTAATTTAACAAGTGGAGCAAGTGGGTTTTGATTTAATTTTGTGAATTTTAGTATTGGGTGTGGTAGGCTTTATTTTGAGCCCTTAATTTTAGTTTTCTTTAATTTTGACCCCTACAATTTTGTAGTAATAATTTAACCCCAAAATTTTTCTCAATTGTTTGCAATTAAGTCCTTGTTTGTTTGATCTCTCAAATAGAAGTTGCTTTTATTTTTTAATTATTAATTACATTCCATTTGAATGCCTAATTTGATAGATTTCATATTTATTTCCATTTCCTTATGATTTATTTATCAATAAATTGGTGCCTTGACCATTTTCTTTGTTTTAGAGGGTAAATAAGAGAAATTTTGTTTCAGTATGTCACAATTCAAGGGAGGTACACTCTACTCCTTTATTTTGATTTTACTAGATCCTATGTGAATTTATGTATGTAATTGCATGCTTTTTGAATGTCTTTTATTTTATTTTGTTTATTTATTCCCTTTATTTTTTTATTTTTTTATATTTATATTTAATTTAATTTTTGATTATTTGAGAGGCATTTAAATGCAAAATTGTAATAGTTAGGGGATTTAAGACGTATTTAGATAGAATATGTAATAGTTAGGTAGTTATTTTATCATTTTATTCTTTTCCCTTTCAATTGTAGTTAGAGCCCCCAAATGTAATAGTTAGGTCTCTATTTGCGCTTATTTGCTTTGTGTGCTTGCATGCTTATGTGTTTACGTGTTTACTCGCTTCCTTAGAGTCTTTGGATCTAGATATTATACTTATGTGCTATGTGCTTTATGTGATTTATGTGTTTACTTGCTTTTATTATATTTTATATGATTTATTTAATTATAATAAATGTATGACGTCACTACACTAATCTAACAGTAGTTGTGGCTCTTTTTCCCGTTTTCTCATTAGTCCAATGCTAGTGAGAATTTATAGACATGGACTAGTCCAATGCTAGACCCTTAGGGACCATCCACGCACTAGATCATGTTTTACATGACAATCACTACATTTCATGCATATTTTCTCTTCTTTAGGATCCTTACCATTTTGCATGATATTTCCCCCATATGTATATCCCTCATCCCCACGTATGAAACATGACATGTAGACTTGCATTCCATTTAAGAATTAGAACTAAGTTAGATCATTTGCTTGATTAGATAGGAGAGTTACCCTATAAATATGGAATATGGACGAGTATGGTTTTGTAGCCTTAACACGCTCGTATTTCCTCTATAAAAGGAAAAATTGAGT